TTCAATGAATAATCTATCTCGATAATATTATGCACACAATCGTCAAGGCAAATAATTAAGAGACATAGTCGTGCACTGGACATTGAACACTCCTTAAAAAATAAATAATCAAAGGATACTGATGATTTTGCACAAAGAAATTATACACTTACGTTGATTGATAGTGCACCAACAATATCTACCGATTTTTTGTAGAACACCCATCGTGCACACAGGAAATTTATTAAATTTTATCTTAATATTGTGGAAGAGAATTGTGCACATTGGGAAACAAAAGTGTACACTCATATTGTAATATCGGACGGTAGTGCATAATTTCTTTGTGCAAAATTATCAGTATGCTTTGATTATTTATTTTTTAAAGAGTGTACAATGTCCAGTGCACGACTGTGTCTCTTAATTATTTGCCTTGACGATTGTGTGCATAATATTATCGAGATAGATTATTCATTGAAATTATGGTGCACAATCAATTTATCCTTGTGTAAGAAATAAAATACGGATTTGTTTGTGTACAATGATTATGTGTATAATTCTTATGTGCATGAACGCTACCTTCCCCAATGAAAGGAGACTCTGTCGATTTTTCATTAAGAAGTTTAAAAGCGGTATTACTACACAATGGCAATATATACGCTCCTATCTCGATAATACATTCTATTATTTAAAAAAATATACTAAAATCTTTCATTTGTATTAATGAAATTACAGTGTTCTAAGTACAAATGGTTGTTATGTAGAGATTTAAAATCATATCTACTTATATTATATTAGGACAGTAAAACGGTAACACTATATTTAGTTATATAAACAATTATATATAAATATAAATAATTATAAAAACAAATATTTTTGTTTTTTACACGAATGGAATAGTCGCATCCGCATTCAGCATTATGTACAACATGAGTGACTATCTCGATTATATTTAAGATCAGGTTCTAAGAATATTATACGTAATAATTTGATACTTGTAAGTTGCGTATTTATTTTACTTTCTTTTTAAGAAGCTGTAAATCTTTTTTACAGACTGACTGATGTTCCCTTACGAGAGCATTAAGTGTGGGAATCGGCAGAGATCGCCACTCCTAAACATATATCTTTTCGTATACCTGACACCAGCTCGATATTCATTAATTCTCTCCATTACTCAATTGTCCAAACATCCATCTGCTTTCTTACCTCGCAATATATCCGTCCACCTCGCAGAATTACAAGCGTTTTGTACATCCAGCGTTACTAAGAGTATTAGTGGTTGGGCTCCATGGTTTGCGTCATTCGTTTTTCTTCACTATCTGTAGTTCGTTCGTTATTGCTCCGATAACGGAGCATCCTAGTCTGAAGCCGTACTGTATATCTGACAAGTTTCCAGCAGCTTGCATCACTACCAAGAAGTAAAGTACCACCACTCCACATCAAATTATGATTAGTCAAACAATTTGTAAAAGCTAAGGAAAATTAGACATCAATGCATTCAAATACAATTTTTGTAAAGTTCTTGAAACTTGTCGAAGCAAAAATAAATGAAGGAGTATTTGACGGTCCACAAATAAGAGCTCTCCTAACAGAAGCAACTTTTGAACAAAAAATGACTGACTAAGAAAAAAATGCATTCAAAGTTTGTAGGCATCAAAAAGGATCCTGATTACAAAAAAATTGTAGAAAATATGGTATCAACATGTAAAGATGTCGTTGCTTGATGAACTTGAAACTCCACTTCTTAGACTCTCACGTAGAGTACTTTCCTAAAATTTTCGGGCACTTCAGCGACGAGTAAGGCAAGATATTTTACCAAGATATAAAACATTGAAAATAAATATTGAGGAAAATAAATTCTTTTTATCAGTGAACTTTCTTAACTTTTTTTAACCAATGTGATCAACGTTTGTAATCTTATTCACTCTGTTAATTTCTAGAGCTATAAAGAATAGGTAGTGATCAGTGATATCCGATTTAGCAAATACATTGTTAACATAAAATCATTTATTTATGGAATAAAATATGGTCTAGTATTTTTATTGAATAGTGGTATGATCTATATTTTAATATATTTAATAACAGATTCTACGTATTATTATTCTGATTTATTAAATTGATGTTCAAATCAGCTATATCTACAAATATTGCACTTGATTATATTATGTATGTATATGTATCAATTTTCGACAGATTTCTTGCTGTTGCTTTTTTCAATAGTTCTTGTTTCTTCTTCGTGTTCCTTAGTAGCTATCTTGCAGATTCATTTTTTTTCAGCAATTCACAATGTAACTGTTTTTATAAGAGGATCAAAGCTATTCGTACAGCGTCATCTTTCTTATGTGTTATGATAGTTAAATTACTTCTTTCAATAGTTTCGTGGACAGAATTTATGTGATGTTAAGAATCTCTTGTTGCGCTTCATCTCGTTCTTGTAATTTAAGTTATGAGATTGCCATTTTAGTTTCTATTCTCAACTTTTTAATATCTTGCATATTAGAATTATTCAAATCTTTGTGACTTGAATATATAATCAAAGTTTTACTTATATGGGAACGTTGCCAACCGTCCGCTTCCGATTATTCTGCAACTAAAAGATATGTTACAGTTCATACAATAATAAAAGACCCATATTTCTTTTAATATTTCGGCGGAAAAAATTATTTAGGGGATGATACCCACCCCCAAAAATCAGTCCTAAAAATAGAATGATAGGAATATCTTAGTGATAATGAATATTTTTCAATGAAACTAAAAGGAACAAACTTCTTATAAAAAAACACAGAACCATATAAATTTTGTCTCTAGGGGTTGCAACCATTACATTGTATAGAGAGAAAACGATACTCGTATTTCTAAGTGTATTTGTAACCTACAAAATAAAAATATTATGTTAAATAAAAAAATAAAAAACTGCTTTTTTAATAGAAAATGATAAAATAAAATTTACTTGTTTCCTATGTAGGCCTATAGAAGCATATTCATGATGTGTAACACTCTTAGAGACATTTTTGGAAAATTTGATTTTCCGGATTTTCCAAAAAGTCGAAAATTTTCTCTAAAAAATCTGAAAAAATTTGAGAGTATTTCTTGTCTAATTTTAAGACTTTTTTGTTTCTAGAAATTTTTCGCGAAAGTCTTTAATTTTCTAGAAAAACGCTTCTGAAGTTAAAAAAGAAATTTCTACTTCGCCGTCATTTTGAGACGTACATTTTGGAATTTTCAATTTTTATAGGTCGTCTATCGAAAATTTGAAATGTTTGTGTAAACTTGTGCTCATTTTTATTGAATAAAAACATGCTATTTTGATAGAAAATTTGATTTTTAAATTTTTCGCGACAAATTTTTCAGTGCTTTTTTCAAAAGAAGTCCCCATATTTTTTTTTCTTGAAATCTAATCATCATTTTGACTTTAAAATCTTGTAGAGCATTCCCAAAAACATAAAGTAAGTCATTTTTAGACATATTCTTGATGTTTAAGTACTTCAAAAATAAACGCAAAGTAAAGTTAAGATTTTTGGCTTTTTCGGCGTTAATGGGTTAAGAAAGTTTTCATCACTATTGATCATTTCCAGATTGTCTTTGAGCGATTTTTAATCGATGAAAGCAGTTTTGGGATGAATGTTGTACACACACGAGTTATTCCCAAAGTCTTTGTTAAAATTCGTCAAAATGTACATTTTGTTATTCCAACTTCATCTTCTAGTTCTCTTATAGTTAAACGACGATACACACACGCTCGACATTATCCGACGATGTTCCCGTGAAAAATCGACTAGAACAAGGATCACTGTCAACAGACGTGCGGCCACTTTTGAGCCCCCTATACCACTTTTATTTGTGTGTTGCCCATATACCCATCTTTAAAGGCCTTTTGTAACATTTCAATAGTTTCTGCACAAATTTCACCGAGATTTAAACAAAATTTTATGCAAATTCGCTGTTTGGTTACTGTTTGGTTGTTGAAAATGTTTGGAGTTGCTGGTGACGTTTGTACCCTTCAGAAGTCACCTGAGTCTCTCCGCACCAAGATATGAACGTAAGTCGGATACTTTTCGGATAGACCTCGTATAGATACATTATATGGCTTCTATTTTTTTAAAGAATTTTGTAGACTGTTATTCGTCGAAAACTATGCCTAAATTACGAATATTTCTCTATAAAATGGTGTTGAGGCTAAATTTCGGGAGTAGCTTTCACTCTCTAAATAGTTCATTCTGCAAAACAAAAGTATGAATGTTTTCGCTTGCTAAAGCGTCATAGCATATAAAATAATCAGCATAATTCGCGACTGACAATTGCCTATATTATAATAATAACGTTCAGGGGTAATTCACCTTTGAAATAATATATAATAGAAAAATATCGAAACGAGTAAATTTTGTTACATTATTAATTTTTTTTAAATAATTTTTTGATTTTGTAGGTTAAAGATATACTTAAAAATATCGTTTTTTTCTATACAATATAAGGATTGCAACCCCCAGAGATTGCTATAATACTGATTTTAGAGCTGACTTTTGGAGGTGGGAATCATCCCTTCAATAACTTTTTCTACCAATAAAAAAAAGTCTTTTACTTTTTATGAATTATAATATATTTCAATTGCAGAAAAATCGGAGGCGGACGGTTGGGAATGAACGTTCCCTTGTTAGTATAATAATTCGTTGCGCCTTTTTTAAATCATTCTTATAATATACTTTTTCACAAGTAAAATATAATTAATCCTTCACTTTGGTTGTTGGATAATATTTATAATTGTCTTTGTCATTATCAATCTCGTTATTTTATAATATTTCTTGTCTTATGCTTAACTAATCCTTTATTCAATTTAGAGAGCACCAATCTCAATTTCTCGGGAGCGGTCCAAGAATATAATCAACTTAACTACTTATGACTAACTCATCTACCTCTCTTTTTCTCTTTATTTCTGTATATTTACTCAAATTGGATTATGTTTTTATTTTATTGCAGTACTTATGAGGCTAGATAAAATGTCACGAAATAATTTCTTTGGTTTGCAGGTATTATACGAAATCAAGACAAAAATTACTCATCTCAATGCGATATAGACTTACGATTCGAAACAAAGAATTTGGCTAGTCACGTATTTGGTTATATTCTTAGAAGCAATATGAGTGTTTCTGGCAATGTAAAGATTGAATACCGCTTCCAGGAGAGATTGAAGGACGAAATTTTACAAACCGAGTTCTCACTGATCAATCGCTCAACGAAGACCTTGACCTACAAAGCGGCAGACATGAAGCTACACTCTACCGCATATCCACAGCTAAACTTCGTGGCGGGCTTGCGCTATCAGCACGCACTTGGTCATATTGAGCTTCACATTGAAGTGAATACTAGTCCACATTTACACAATGCGGACAGACATAAGCTTACAGCTCAGTTTGTTGCAACATACTCGAAGCCCTATTTCCAAATTGATGGTAAAGTTCGATATTTTATAACTAATTTATTTTCTAGTCAAATCTTAGTTTCGACTGCGAATCAAATTTTTCACAGGTGCTAATGTGAGCGCGTACATGGCGATAACTAAGCCAGCACAGGACATTGATATAAAAATAGGCGTAAATTACTATTCGATTGGGCCTGAGTCTAAGATGCGGTTTCTGGTGCGTTACGCCCCCGGCAAAGAGATAATGCTTACAGTGGACGTAATAATGCCACGCGGTCAGCTGTTCGCAATAGAGGGCAAAGCCAATTTAACCATACCAAACTTTAGCTCGATGCTCATGAGTGCTAAAATAATGGAATGTACGCGCAATGAATACGAGATCGACCTTGCTGGCACCTGGTTTAGTGGCCACAATATTTCTGCGACAGGCTCCTACTATGATCGCTCGACTGTCATCGTAACTAGCCATCAGCTCGACATGCTGCTCAAATCACCGAGTTTAACCAAGGACATTCTAATCAACTGCAGGCTCTACCATGATAACAGCGATCTGAGCATTGGTAACCATCGTGACTAATACATTAATTGAAAATTCAAAAAGAAAGAGTTGTCCGATGAGAAAACTTAAAATGCTTATCCTTCCTTCCTTTTTGACTTCCAATTCTAGGTTTGTTTGTGGAGCAATTGCAGTCGGACAAATACACACTGCTACTGAATCACTCTACGACTTCGCCAAAGCATTTTCGTACGTTTATCGAGGGGCGCTATAAAAATAGCACTTACTCGCTACTCTCGCGAGTAAACCTGGATCGTCAGGCCGCACTGGAGCTACACCTAGATAAGTGGCGAGATATTCACCTGATGATCAAAAGTGTGAACGAAGAACTGAGCAAGGAGTATGGTCTCGAGGTTAAGTGGGATGCAAGTCGTGAACCCGAGCTCAAGTTTGAAACGAACGTACAGCTGCAGCGACGAGTCTCGTTAAACAACAATAGTCAAAACGTGAGCGCACTAATGCGTTTTTCTTATCCTGGTCGCTTGGTCAGCGGTTCCGCCGCGTTTGTACTGCGGCCGCGTAACAATTATCTCGTAGATGCTCACCTCCGTTGGAGTCCTAGTCAGTTAGTCAGTTTCAATGTCGACACTGACTACGATACGAAGAATTCAATCAAAGTACTCAAATTAGAGTCTCAACTGCTCACTCCATTCGAACACTGGAAAAAGACATCGCTTAATGGAAAGTACGATACAAGATATTACGATAATCAAGTCGCGTTCAGTAGCCAATTCAGTGAAAGTATTGATACATCTTTTAACTTTTATAACATTTTTTTACATTTAGATACGTGCAAACGGATTCGGAGCTGAAAGCAAGCGGTAGCATGTACTGGCATGATTCACAGCATGTGCTATTCGAAGTAGAGGGTTGGAGTCGTGAGCGCGAGGATGGAGCGAACGAGTGGCGAGCCAACGGAGCTGTGCTCAGTAGCGTCCATGCAATCCAGTATTTGACGACCAATTTAAGCCACGTCTACGTCTACGCCAAGAGTGCTGATTCGAGATTGCTTGTACGCTACTTTCCTAACCAAGTGATCGACGTCCGGAGTATATGGCTGATCGAGGTCGATCGTCGTGACGACAGCTTCAACGTGAGCGGTAATTTACAGCTGCTTTCACCACTCGTCAGTTACCGCAAAGGCCAGTTCAAGTGCCATCTAAGCTCACAAACCAATTGGAAGCTTCTTGGCGTCGCCAATCTTGACCTTGACAAGAGAAAATATGCCGTCCTACTAGTCAGCGATCTTGTTAAATTTAAGGAGTCTATGGTGAGTTGACGCGCAACGCCAACGACCAAGATAATAAGTCATTTTATAACCTAACTCTACTTTTAATGTTCGTACCAGATCGAAGTTAACATAACGACTCCCTTTGAAAAGTACGCCTATATACGCGGCCGATTTGGATTATCGGAGAGAAATAGACACATTGTTGCTGAGGTGACTACCCCAGCGGGTCCACTTGGAGCTGAGGCTATTTGCCAATTATTCACCAGCAATTATGACTTCAACGTTAAACTACTACTGGCAACTCCGATCGATGTCCTTCAGCAAGCGTTCCTCATAGTGAAATTTAATCAGCAGGAAGCAGATTTTAGACTAGCTTACAATAACATGACTGCTGGATTCCAGGTACACATTCACATACACTCCTCTCCCCATATTACAACAATTTTGCTCTTCTGGTTACCCCTTTTTACCGGTAAATTAAAGCCTGTTAATACTGTCAGAATAATATATAACTATATTACGAGGTTTGTCTGAAAAGTATCAGGCCCATCTTTATATCTTTATATTGGCGTTATTCTTTATCATCGTATGGGTGGCATCCTTTAAAGTAATCTCTACGTGATTCAATAACATGATTTCAGCAATGTTTCCATTTTTCGATACAGTTCTAATACTTACTTCTAGGGACGGTCATTAGTACGCTCGTCGCATTATTTTCAAATGTCGTTTTGTAATCAAACCGCTGTCCTTTGAGTGGCTTTTTGAGTTTGGGAAACAGCCAAATGTCGCAGGAGGCTATGTCGAGATTGTAATAAGATATTCAAAGCAATGCGATACTGTGTTTACTGAGAAACTACTGTACAAAATTCAATGAATGCGCTGACACATTATCGTGATATAAAAGCCAGTGAGCATGTACATGGTAATAACCAAGCCAGCGCAGAACAGTGATATAAAGATAGGCGCGAATTTCTATTCGATTAGGCCAGAGTTTAAGATGCGCTTATGTCTATGATGCATTACGCCCCTGGCAAGGAGATCAGTGGATGTAACAGTGCCGCGCGATCAGCTATCACTTAACTAAAAGCGGGCGGTTTCTTCTTACTGTTTAATACAAACGTTTTAAAATTTTAACATAATATTCTTTGTTGATTGCGTGATCCGTCGGTGCATATTCGCTGTGCGCAACACCTTTACAATAGAAAATAACAAATTGTTCCGACGTGGACGTGCTTTCTTTGGTCTTAGCGATCCAGAGTGTTTCCATTGTAAATACTGTTGTTTTATTTCAGAATCATAGCCATAAATCCACGATTCATTTCCAGTAATAGCCTTTTTAAGCACAGTATCATTGTTATTGACCATTACTAAGCTGCCCTAAACAGAATGAAAATCACTATGAACAGATGTAGTGCCTCCGTTGAAACGATTATTCCACTCTTTTATACATGTTATGCTCATATACTCATTCTCAAAGCCCTTCTGTATTATCTGAATCATTTTCGAACTCGTTTTTCCGAATTGAAAGTAAAATTTGATGTCAATTCGTTGATCTTGTTTTTTAGTCATTTTTAACAATTAAAGAATCCGCCGAATTCAAAAATAGCTTTATAAACAAAGACACGTTGCGCATGAACTATAAGTCCTGCAGACACCAGCAAGCATCGATAGGTTCGTGTGGCTTTACTATTGACGTTCATGACTCGCACAGGTCAGTCGAACACTATATTACGCAGATATAAAGGTTGATCCGATACTTTCCGACTAGACCTCTTACATTAATTACATATTATAATTTTAAGTTTAAGTTCAAACGCTATGATAAATTTGCAGCTTTAACTTCCCAAGGGCGAACAAGAATTTGACAAAAAACTGTGTGGTTGAAAATAATAATTGTTGCGCGGTTTGCAGGTATAGATGGACACGCTCTTATGTGAACGTCGACAATCTATACCGAAAATTTTGGGAATTTATTACTCAGAGTCAAAGCCGCGAGGATGACACTACTTGGTAGTTATGTGACTGAGAGTATACGGGCTTCGGTACTAAATATACGTAAATGTTAACCATTGAATCGCGAACTTAGAAGACACAGTTAGCCACATCAAATTTCCATTTTAAATTTTACTAGGTTTCGTTGCATCTGTTTAAGAAAGGCCAGACAGCACCAAAACAAAAACTTAAAAGATTTCTAGGCTTGCAAAAATATCATCGAAAGAGGAGATTGTCTATAGCTATTTTTTCCCATAAGAGAGGGGACCTTATGAGTCAAGCTCTTAGATAATCTAGGAAAGGAAGGTAGCAAGGCTAATCATTGAATAAATAAAACATTTCTCAGGAAAAGGCTAAGAGTTCATTTCACTTCGTACAGTGTTTATGTTGTTTGACAAGGCTGGATAAGAATCAAACTATCTGCGCAAAGACGAGCGAGTTTAATGTGATGTTCGTATCACTTACAAATAATAAAAATTCGAACTCTCGTATCTAGCTAATGAGTAAGAATTTATTTCTAATAATTTTACTCTACTTGTCAATGAATAGATAAATCAAATGTACTCTAATAATACTAAACAAATCAAATATATATAATAAATACAATATTTCAGGGAAAGTCAGACGATGCCCTAGTTTTTTATGGTGCGAATTGTCCCATAAGCAGAGCTAAAGTCTTTATTGGATAGGATATAATTCGGCCCAAGTTTCTTATAGCGCGAAATGTTCTATAAGTCGAGCTCGAATAATAAGGAAGGGGCAGTCTTGCTTAGTTAATCACAATGAGAGAAAGAACTTAGGCATTAACCAAGTTTATTCAGACTTATGCGCTCACCTTGCAAGGCTAGAAGTGAATGCTAGCCTGTGCAAAGGTGGGCCTATTTATATAGAGATTTTCCCGCTTATTTTTGCAGGAGAGATGTCATCGAATATTTGAGAGATATTCGCGAATTTACAGAAATGAGTTTTCTTAATTTACAAGAAAATAATCTTTAATATTAAGCTTTTTACATATGTAAGCTTTACAAAATTTGTTTATTGTTGATTTTATATAATATACAATTATCGCAAATAATGTCGTCAAAAGTTATTAACTAATATAGTTAATTAACATGATATTACAATATTTACAATAGAAAATTAATAAATTTTTATATAACTTTATAGTTGATTTAATTTAGAGGTATTTTCCAAAAATGAATCTTTAAATTAGTTAATAACATTTGAATTATAACTAATTTTTCATATTTGTAACGGTTTTTCCTAATCTTATAATACGATTATTAGATTATTTAAGATATCTAAGATTCCTAAATTATAAAGCTATCATTTTCAAGTATAAAATTAATACTTTCGTTCTATATACAGCTTATTGTTTAAATAAATTATTAATTGTTTATTTACTAATAACAGTTATTATTCAGCTGTTATTAATGAAACCAATTCTTACTCATGTTCTATACTTATTCACTTTGCATATGAATTATTTACATTTTTCTAATGTTTCATATTGTTAACATAATAAATAAATCAACTTTGCATATTGATATTCATTATTATTTCATAATTGAATGTAATTTTTGTTATTATATTATGAATCTACATGCTAAAATCTATATAATCAATACTTTGTTATATTAAAATTATCTCTAATTAACATATTTTTCTTAATATCCAAAATCATTATATCTATATCTATTACTTTGTGACGTCATGCTGTTTATATTGATTCGACTCTTATTTGTATACACAATCTCGTAGACAGTGAGGTAGCGCCGCTTAATGTATTGATTTGAATAAACAGATAGATACGTTAGACTAGTTGCAGTAATTCAGTGATTTAATAAATAGCTCATAAATAGGACCGTTACATAGCCCCCTCTTGAGACTGAATGATTTCTGATAAGAAGTCTCACGAATGAGTTCCTTATGAGCTTTTTATTAATCTTTTTGTTTGTTTGTTTGTTTTTTTTTTCTTTATTGATACATTTATAATAAAAATTTTCCAGGAGTTGGAGGTCGCTCTGGTTGTGTTAATGTCATCTTCTTCCTTATTTCTTCAATTTTTTCCTCTGTATTAGTGATCCTTACAGCCAACTTTTTTATTTTCTTCTGTATTCTGCGCTTCCGCTTTCTCGAAGTAGTTGGTGAGGATGTTGAGGGCGTCGGGGTAGAAGAACGTGGCACATTAGAAGGTAGAAAGGTGATGACAGATTGTTTTTTCTTTTCCGCCTTTGCCATCCAAGCAGGTTTGGATAGTGTCTGCGTGCTTTTGCACAGAGACCAAGGCACCATATTTTGCGTTGGTACAAAAGGTCTGGCTGATGATGCTGGAATATAGTGCTTTAAGTCAGACCTATTGGTCTGAGTGCTTTCACTCTTTCCTACCATCTTTCCAGATCGATAGTCTACTCTTTCCAGTGTTTACATATATCAGATCAATATGCAAATTTGCTTGGAGAGAGAATGTATCCCCTAGTGGCTAAATTTGGTACGGTTTTAGTAGAGAAGTATGAAATACACCTTTATCTTTACCATTTTTGTATTTCAATAAGTATGTATCTAAACCGATTATGGATTTAATTATATACGGGCCTTCATATAAGTTTAAGAATTTCTTAATAATTTCTTCTTCTTTATTACTTATATTTTGACTCCGCAATAATACATAGTCATTAACTTTATATTGATAATGACATATATTTTTATTAATGTTGTTTGCACGTTTTATAAGTTTATTTTGCATTTTTTTCTTGATATCTTCTATTTGATTGTAATTTGTTGGCACCTTTGATATCAGGTATCCATCGATGCCGAAATCTATCTGGTTTTAGATGGAGGTGTGCTTCTATAGGAGTTATTTCAACCGTTTCGTGATACACATAATTCATTATTTGTTGTATTTTGGGAATTAATGGAGCCCAACCTTTATGATTATTATTTGCATATGCTCTTAAAAATCTTCTCAGTTCTCTATGAATTCTTTCCACGATATTACTTTGTGGATGACGAATACTAGAAAATATTAATTTTATATTATTAGCTAAAAGCTTTTCTTTCCATGCTTTAGCTGTGAACTGTGTTCCATGATCACATATGATTGCTACTGGCTTTCCATAATTTGGTATATAGTGTTCAAATATCTTTTTTATAGTAGTATATGTAGTTGATCTTTTTATAGGATACATAACTACTAATTTACTAAAACAATCTATTGTTGTTAAAATATATTTGACTCCTCCTTGTGAGGTTGGCAATGGTCTATAAAAATCTATAGATAATAGATCGTTTGGTTTTTCAACCAATATAGGCTGCATTATTGATGATATCTTTTTTGTATAATATTTCGTACGTTGACAGAGATTACAACGATTTATAGTTTTTGCTACTTTCTTACGAAGCTTGTAGAT